GGGATTACCAGCCCCTCCTTCCTGTCCTTATGTCACCAGTGGCCCCATCATCCTCTAGTCCCCAAGCCAGAGCCCTGGGTCTTGTCCTTTCTTCCCTGTCCTGGGCTCCCAGCCCCCAGTCTCCCAGGCTACCTGCTATTCTGAGGGAGTTTTCTAATTCTCTGTGCTTCCCTGCTCAAATCCCTTCCATGGGTCCCCATGGTACCTGGATTAAAGTTCAAGCTGCAAAGCATGGCTTTTCAGACCCAGAGTGATTTGGCCTCAGAGCTGGCTCCTACTCTGTCCTAACCTGCTGGCCCAGTCAGAAATGAACTTCCTTTTGGTCCTCTAGGACTTCCTTTTGAAAGTGTGGTCCTGTACCAGTAAGCTTTGACATCACCTGGGAGTGTGTTAGAAATGCAGCATCTTATGTCTGACTCCAGACCACAATTTGCATTTAATAGGATCATGCTGGTCATGGGGGCTGTGGGGTTCTCATATACACTAAAGTTTGAGAAGCGCTGCTCTAATGGGAATATCCCTTCTCTCCTCTTGGCCTTTTTATGTTATCAGTCTGGAATACCCTCTTTGCCTCTTCCTGACTGGTCTCCTCATCCTTCAGGTTTCTTCTCTGAGGCCTCCTCCTCCAGGAAGCTCTCCCTGACCCCCTAGGCTGGCCCAGCCTCCCCCTCTGGGGTCCTACAGTCTCCTGTGCTTCCCCATTCCAGCCCTGACCACTCTGGGTCCTTACTGTCTGTTCCCCTCCTGGTCTGTGAGCTCTGTGAAGGTGGACAGTAGGTTGGATTGGTTGCTGTTGTCCCTGCGCCCAGAAGAGGGCTGGGCACAGGGGGAATTATCAGAGAATATTTGGATTGATGAGTAAATGAATAGAAGACCCAGGTCAAATGGCTAATCTCAACAAATAAATGAGATGCCTTGGAGGCAACGAGATGCCACCAGTAAGTGGGTGGGAAGGACGGGCAGCAGAAGTGAGGAAACGCTTCCTGAGGAGAGCTGTGCCTCCCGCCCCCATGAGCAGCCTGCCAGGGAGGTATCTGAGTGTAAGGCTGAACACTAAGGCCTGGGACAGCCTGGGGTGTGGGGAGGTGGCAGGATGGCCACTGTGGGCCTCTTAGAAAGGGGCTGGTCAGGGTTTGGGAGCCCGGGCTCTGGACCTAGGCTCCCTGAGTCTGGATCCCTAACTTCTTTGAGCTCCAGTAACTTCCTGTGTAAAGTGAGACTAAAAATGGTCCTGCCCCCACACACTATGATCAGGTGTCACATGTACAGCACCTAAAGCGGTGCCTGACATCATATTAAGGGCTTGGTATTTGTTAACCGTTACTATTACTTTTGATTCCTTAACTCCAGACATGATACTGCTCCTTCTCCCCCCCACCTCAGTAGTGGGCTTAAGGCTTGGCCCTTCAAAGACCCCAGAGTTGGGGGGACTCACCTCGATGTAATGGTCTGTGAATTCAGCCCCAAATTCCCGGCTTGCACCAAAGTCCAGGAGGGTCACCTGGGAATGGGAGATGGTAAAAGGGATGCTGGGAGTCCACCCCCCACCCCCACTGTCCATGGTGGAGGGTGGGGCACCCGGGTCCATTCCCACACCCTGCCTCTCCTCTCAAGAGTCCCGGTCTGGCTGCCTCCCTGGGTTCCTGGCTTTGGGCCCACGCTTCCCATCCACCCCTGCATAAAACCTGAAGGGACATGGCTTTTATATTTCTGATCCTACTTATTTTTATAATAACAGGTTTTAGGCATAGAAAGAAATCTAAAGAATAAAATACATAGAAAAGCGAAATGAACACCCACAAATCCCACCACCCGGTTTAAAATATTAAATACCTCCCACGGCCCCCAGCCTGTCCTGTCCCCATCCTCTCCTCCAGGGCCACCACTTTCCTAAAGTTATTATTACTAAATTATTATTTCCTGAAATTCCCATGTGTGAATTTCTATATTCTCTACATATTCGGGCATCTGTGAACAATAAATAGTAATGCTTTGTGTGTTTTAAAACTTCCTTCCTACTGGGGGCACCTGGGTGGCTCAGTCGGTTAAGCGTCCAGCTCTTGGTTTTGGCTCAGGTTATGATCTCACAGTTTGTGAGTTCGAGGCCTGTGTCCAGCTCTGCACTGTCAGTGCAGAGCCTGCTTGGGATTCTCTCTCCCTCTCTCTCTGCCTCTCCCCTTCTCGCTCTTTCTCTCAAAATAAATAAATAAACATTTAAGAAAACTTCATACAAAGGGTATTTATGATAGGTGTCCTGCAGCTTATTCTTTGTGCCCAGCATGGTTTGGCAATGTATCCCCGTTGCTATGCGCAGCTCGAGCTCATTCATTTTTTTTCACTACTGTGTAAGGACTTCGTTGTGTGAATATATCACAAGGCGTTTAGCTGGCTGATGGACACCATGGTTACTTCTGGGTTTGGCTATTAAAAACAGTGCCCCGTGGACACATGTGTAAGAGTTTCTTTAGGGCAGCAGGGTTCACACTATTGATCACAACCCACAGTAAGAAATACAGATTATATTGGACACCAGTGCCCATGCACACACAAATATAAGGTCAAACAAAAGCATCCCGAAATACTCTGGATCCCTCCCATCTGCGACACACTGATATTCTCTACTCTGTGGCTTTAAAACAAAAAATGCTGTTAGGGGCACCTGGGTGGCTCAGCATCCAATTCTTGATTTCAGCTCAGGTCATGATCTCACAGTTGGAGGATCGAGCCCTATGTTGGGCTCTACACTGGGCGTGGAGCCTGCTTGCAATTTTCTCTTTCCCCCTCTCTCTGCCCCTCCCCCACTTGTTCTCTCTCTCTTCACTCTCTCTCTCTCTCTCTCTCTCTCTCTCTCAAAAAAAAAAAATAAAAAAAGATGTTGAGACCCAGTAAACTGATGTCAGGACTCCTATCACACCCCCTTACCTGCAGTTAGAAAAATACTTCCAAGCAGTTTGAGCCTAGGAGGGATACAGGGTATCTGTGCACTTGGGGGGGGAGGAGGTGTCAGGGGACTGAGGCTGGAGACTCAGTGGGGCCACATCACACTCAGCAGAAGGCTCAGACTTGATCTTGAGGCGGCTGGCGAGCTGCAGAAGGGACAGCTTGGCCAGATTTGTTTTTAGAAAGATCCCTCTGGGGACAGAATGGGTACAGACGACTTTGGAAAGCCATCTGGCAGCCAGGCACGCTAAGTCTTTCAGTCCAGACCCTCGGCCACCCTGTGTCCCCTGCTAGGAACACTCTTCGCTGCTCTTCAGGTGGCCCTCCCCTTCTCATCCTTCTGGTGTCAGCCTGAATGGCACTGCCTTTGAGAAGCCTTCCACTTTCCCTGGCTTCCCCCAGCCCCCTGTGCTTCCCCATCACTGCCACTCTGGCCCACGTTTCGCCATCGTGGTACTGACTACTCAGTCAATCACTGTCTGGTCACGGGTCCCTCCGCCGTTCTGGGAACTCTGAGAAGGGCAAGGATCAGAGTTGTCTTGGCATCACTGTCAAGAGGCAGTGGGCGCTTGGCGCGTTCTAAGTGAATGACAAGCGCGGCAGTGATGATGAACAGCCTTCTGTAAGCGGTGCCACTGGGCAACCACTGCCTCGCAGAGATTCCGTTTCCCAGCAGCCCTTGCACCCAGACAGGCTGTGTGACCAGTTCTTATCAATGGAATGGTATAGGGAATGATGGGCCACGTCTGGCCAAAGCAGTTAGGCAGGGCGCTACCCTCTTAGCTTCTCTTTCCCCTTTCACTGGAAGGAGAGCATGGCAAGGCCTAAGGGCATGGCACAATCACAGAAGGGAAGGTGCCTGGGTCCCTGAACCACCGTGCGGAGGACGGCCACTCCGGCCTGTTATGTGGGTAATAACTACTATTGTGTTGAGCTACTGAAATGATCGGGAACTATGTGTTACAGCAGCTCATGGACCCTGATACACATCCTAGGGAACCAACCTGGTGGCTGGAGGCATCGTACAGGAAGTTGGCCCAGTTGGGGTCCGTCTGCATGAATCGGAATTCAAACAGCTCCCGCAGACACAGCCTCAGGAGCTGGAAGCAGATCTGGAGTGTGGAGGAGTAACAGACATCACAGAGTCGGCCCCTGTAAAGCTCTTTCTGACCGGAGAGGGAGGACTACGTGTCTAGCCAGCCCTGCCAGCACTGACCTGGGGCAGTGCCCTCCCTACTGTCCCCTCAAGACCACATACCTGGTTCCGGATGTCCTGGCTTAAGCCCTGGCACTGGTCCAGGGGGACCCCTCCAGCCAGTTCCATGCCCAGCACCCGCGTTGTGCACAGCTCCTCAATCACAGCTGGCACTCGGAAGAAAGGGTCACCTGCCAACAACTGCCTGGGACAGAAGGGAAGGGAAGGGACGGGACTTCATCCTTCAGGCCCCTGGGGCCCAGCTTGAGGCCTTCTCCTCTTCCTCCGAGAGGTGCTCCATGAACAGCTTATGTCTTGCCTTCCCTCCTGCCCTCCTCTTGCCTGTCTGTCCTGAGTGATGGACAAGGTGACGTTCACTCAGATATTTCATTCGTTCACTCATTCACCAAATATCTCCATAGTGCCTACTCTGTGTCTACCCCTAAGCTGGATGCTGCTGGAGCCCCATTACTGCTTCCCTACCGAAAACACCTCTATGACTTCTGGTTGCCCCCAGGATGAGTTCAATGCACTAAGCTTGATGAGCATTACTTCTTCATCAATTTATTAATTAATCCATCCAAAAAGAAGTCGCCGATATACAAATCTCCAAGTCCATAGTGATACTCATCGGCAAGTCCTTGGGGTCATTACTCTGAGTGCTGGTTAATACTCTGACTCCTTCTTGGTATCTGTCCCTGTGCTGGACGAGGCTGAGTGCCAGAGGGGTGGGTGAGCTCTGGGCCTGCCCCTTGGACACCAGAGACTCTAACAAATATACAAACAGGCCGATAATCGACTGAGGTAAGTGTGTCAACGTAAGATTTGGGAGGCAAAGATTATGAGCAAGACTCGTGGTTGGGACCAGTGGGAGGGCTGGGCGGGGAGTGGTGCAGGGGGGCAAGGAGGTCGTGAAGGCCAGGGGAACGATGTGGGTTTTATTCTAAGGGTACTGAGAAGGGGGCTTCCAGATCTCACAGACGAGTGCTCTCGCCCAGCCCACTTCATCCTGTCCTCTTCAAGGCCCCGCTTTGACGCTTGTATTTTTGTCCCTGTTATAAAATATTCGGTATTTGAGCCACTCCTGCTGGGCTGATTAAAGCACAATCCCCTTTTTCCTTCACTCCCCTATGAGGAGGATGCTGTCCCAAGCATGCAGATTTCAGCCACCCAGGCTGCTAAGGGCTGACCTGGGACTGAATCCCACATCCGAGTCCAGGGCCCATGCCCCTAGTCACTGTCTTCTACTGTCCCTTCTCTTGCTCCGTATCTACAGACCTTGGCTCAATAAACCCGTGGGCCATGCTGTGGAGGGTCTCACCGGATGTATTTTAACTGCTGCACATCACGATGCTTCTAAGATACCACCACATGGTTCCCTGTAGCTGGTTCATTGATTTTCGCTGCTGTATGATATTCCGCTGATGGATTATGCCTTCATTTATTTATCTACCCTGCTAGATGAACTTGGTAGTTGGGTTGTGTCCACTTTGGGGCTATTGCTGCTCTGAGCATTCTGGAAAAGGCTGATGGTATATACAAGCCCAAGGGGCCCTGGAGCATTTATTTAGCAAGGAGGGCAATTATGGGGTTGTATGGGAATATTGAGCCTTGATGATGCCAAACTGAATGCTTATCTCAATTTCTCTCCCTGCCCACGGTATGTAAGGGTTGGCCTGGAGCCCTGTCCTCTCTCACTCGCATCACTGTCAGACTGCTTATTCTTTGTCCAGCGGAATGACGGTATCTCGCGGCATGACTAAGTGCCTGTCGACAAGTCCTTCTTCCTCCTGACTCCATGTGGTTATGTGTCCCATTCGACAGATGAGAAAAGCGACAGAGAGAGGAAGTGGCGTGCCCAAGCTCCCAGAGGACCCAGGGGGTAAATCAAGGCAGGGGTGAGGGAGAGATGGATGAGCAAATGAAGAGAATAAAGAGTTTGCAGGTCCCACCCCAGGGTTCCAGCTGCCAGCGGCTGGGGGGTGGGGATATCCATTTCCCTCTCCTCCTGGGAGGGAAGCAAGGGGTCCCGGGGCTGGGGGAGGGGTGGGGGGCGGCAGGGACGCAGGGGACTCAGCTCACCTGAAGTTCTGGGCACACGCCGCCTCACGGCGGTAGTCACACTCCCAGGCCAGCTCCTGCTGCAAGGCCTGCAGGCTTTGCTCAGCAAACAGGCCTGAGGGGGCAGCCGTGTCAGCCAGGGCAGGCCACGGCCTGCCCCCGCCATGACAGCCACCCCCAGGCTTCCACTCAGGGACGTTTTCTCTCGCTGTCCGTTTGTCTCTCGAAGCCCCTCATACCTTCTGCTCCGTGCCTTTTACCACGTCGTCTGTCCACACACCTGCCGTCCGGCCCTCACACGGGCCTCTTCTGAAGTCTCTCCTGGGGCCTCTCCCACAGGCTTGTGTACCAGTCCCCAGGCATCTCTTCTATGGTCACACTCAGCACCTACCCTCTCTTTTTCATAGCCTCTCACACCGTTCTCACGGCCTCGAAATCTTGTGTCCAGGACTCTCTCTCTTTCTCTCCACACACACACACACACACACACACACACACAGACACGCATGCGCGCAAGAGGTCCTGCTTACACTCCCTTCCTGCTTCTGTGCCTCTTTTCCAGACCTCCAGTCCCTCTCTGGGCACCCTGTGTGTCTGTTTCTGACTTTCAGCATGGGCTTCTGTCTCTGGTTGTGTCAGAATCTCTAAGTTCGTCTTTTTCTCACACACTCAGGTTCTCTGGGCTCTCCCTGCCTTGGTGTCCCTTCTGTCTCAAACGCGTGGACTTACACATTCGCCCACACTCACACCCTGCCCCGAGCCCCACTCTCTCCCTTCAGGGTGTCCCCGCCGCAGCCAGGGCTGGAGTGCCGCCTCACCCTCGGGCAGGGCCACGCTCATCTTCAGCACTGCCAGCAGGTTCTGGATGTCACTCTGGATGCTCTGGGCAACGCCTGGGTACTGTGAGCAGGAGCAGGGAGGGACGGAGAGCGGGGGTCACTCCTCCGGGACAGCGGGGTGCCCACCCCTGCCCTGCCTCTCTCCTCACCTGGATCTTCACGGCCACCTCTGTCCCGTCCCTCAGCATGCCCTGGTGCACCTGCCCGATAGAGGCAGCAGCAAAGGGCACCTCCTCCAAAGAGGCCACCTTGGCCTGCCAGTCCCTGCCCAACTCCTCTTCGAGAACTCTCTGGGGACAGTGGCCAAAAGAAACAACCATCATCACTGTTGTGGGCAATGGAGTTCACTCTGTGCTGAGCGCTGTATGTGTTAATGATCCCGTTCACCCCATGCTGGCCTCTGGGCTAAGCTCCTGGCTACTACCCAACTTTACAGATGAGGAAACCGAGGCTAAGTCTTTTGGCAAAGGTGACAAGCCAGGTGCTGGCAGACCGAGAGACCCGGCCTGAACCTGTACTCCTGAGGCCATGTGGGCTATTGTGGGGATTGCTATTAGGTAAAGCCAAGACTGATAATAATCCTTCATTATACTCCTATATTGTATCATCAACTCAAGGTTAATGTGATAAAGAAGAAGGGGCGCCTGGATGGCTCAGTCGGTTGAGTGTCGGACTTCGGCTCAGGTCATGATCTCATGGCTTGTGAGTTCGAGCCCCATGTTGGGCTGCGTGCCGACAGCTCAGAGCCTGGAGCCTGCTTCAGATTCTGTGTCTTCCTCTCTCTCTGCCCTTCTCCTGCTCGTACTCTGTCTCTCTCAAAGATAAAAGAAAAACATAACGTGACGAAGAACTAAGGGGCACCTGGGTGGCTCAGACGGTTAAGCATCTGACTCTTGGTTTCGGCTCAGATCAGGATCTCACGGTTTGTGAGTTTGAGCCCTGCATAGGAGGCTGTCAGTGCGGAGCCTGCTTGGGATCCTCTCTCTCTCTCTACCCCTCCCCAGCTTGTGCTCTCTTCTCTCTCTCTCTCTCTCTCTCTCTCTCTCTCTCTCTCTCTCTCTCCCTCTCAAAAATAAATAAATAGGGGCGCCTGGGTGGCTCAGTCGGTAAGCGGCCAACTTCGGCTCAGGCCGTGATCCTGCAATTCATGGGTTCGAGCTCTACATCAGGCTCTGTGCTGACAGCTCAATTCTGTGTCTCCCTCTCTCTGCCCCTCTCCCACTCATGCTCTGTCTCTCTCTCAAAAATAAATAAAACCTCAAAGGGGCACCTGGGTGGCTTAGTTGGCTGAGCATCCTACTTCGGATCTTGCAGTTCATGAGTTCGAGCCCTGTGTCTACGGACAGCTCCGAGCCTGGAGTCTGCTTTGGATTCTGTGTCTCCCTCTCTCTCTGCCCTTCCCCTACGCATGCTCTGTCTCTCTCTCTCAACAATAAATAAACATTAAAAAAATTTTTTTAATTAAAAAAATGAAAATAATAATAAATAAACTTAAAGAGAAAAAAAAAAAGAGCTAAAATTTACAGAGGGCTTCCCGTGAGCCGGGTCCTATCAAGAGTGGCTCGGAGAGGGGCAGTAATACCCAGGGTCACGTGGTGAGTGAGCAGAACAGAGATCAGAAGGAAGGGAGGCAGCTGGATCCAGATTCCACACCCTTAGCCAGTTTTTAGAAGAACAGCTCGTGTCTTGGGCACTTACTCAGTGCCAGGCACTGTGCCAACCTATTTACAGACATGATCTCCTTTAATTAAAAAACCAGTACTAATAACAGTTAGAACTGGCATGTCACTTACCGTGTGCCAGGGGCCCTTTCTAAGTGCTTTACCTATACTGATTTATGTAACCCTATGATGTGGGTGTTGCCATCACCACCGCCATTTCACAGATGAGGTAACTGAGGCACAGAGAGGTCAGGCCACATGTCTGGGATCACACAGGCGGTACATGGCAGAGCCAGGATCTGAACTCACAAAGTCTGGCCCCCAACCACGGCACATCCCTGCCTCTTTAGGAGCCGTGACAGAGCCCTGAGCCTGCCAGGGACTGGACCAAGCGCCCTGCACCACTCTCTCATTTAGTCACCTCAGCGATCCTCTGAGACGTGTTTTAGTGGTCCCCATTTTACAGACAGAGAAACTGAGGCTCAGAGTCAGTCAGGGAGTAGCGCCATGAAGCCAGGAGGGTCAGGCGGGTGGAGCATGCCTCCCTCACCAGCCCTCCCCGACCGGGCACTCACCAGCATCTGCCAGCGGGGCATGAAGTCGGCGCTCTGGCGGACCCGCTCGAAGATGCGCTGAAGCTGGGGGCTGATGAAGCTGTTGTCTTGGGAGACAGGGGGACAAGGGGAAGCGGTGAGGGAGGAGGCGAGGGAGGGGCCCCCGTGGGAGTAGCTGAAGTTGGTGCTTGTTGGTGTGTGGGGGTGGGGGAGACGTGAGGTCAAGGGTCAGGAGTTGAGGCTCACGCTGTACCCTGGATGCTGAGCATTTGGCCAACCTTGAGGGCGGCCCCCCGAACTGTACACAAGGTCTGCACGATCCGCTCGGCATTGGCCTCTGACAGGAAGGGACTGGAGCCTGGCCGGGTGCCGCTCTCTGTGGGGCAGAGAATAATCATTTGTGTCACAAGCACAAAAATAATCATTGTAGCACTACCGCATAATCCCCAGAATGGCTAAAATGAAAAAGGCAATGCCAAGTGCTGGCAGGGACGAGGAGCAGCCTAAACACCCACACTGCTGATGAGTGTCGTGGCACGGGCCCTCTGGGAAGTTTCCAGTAGAGCATACACCTATACCTGGTGTAACTTCTCTCCTGGGTACGTACCCAAGACAAATGCATGTGTGCGTCCAGAGAGTCCTAGAAGGTTCCCAAAGAGCACTCCTCAGAACAGTCCCCCACCGGAAACAACCCAAGCGACAGTCCATTGCATGAGCAAAGGCATGTTGGAAACAGTCACAAAGTGACTCCTACAGCATTGAATGAACAGCCTGCGTCAACTCACAGTGACACAGAGGCATCCCTCCAACAGAACGTTGAGCCAAAGCGGCCAGACACATGTGAGAATACATTGTCCGATTCCGTTGGTCTAAAGAGCAAAAACAGTCAAAACTAATCTTGGGGGTCAGAAGCCAAGAGGGTGGTTTCCCCTGGAAGGAGAAGTGGCCAAGAGCAGGCAGATAGGAGCTTCCAGAGAATGAGAGGAAGTGATTCTCAAAGTGTGGTTCTAGGAATCCTGAGGGCCCCTGAGACGCTTCAAGGAGGCTCTGTGAGATCAAAACTACTTTCATAATAATATTAATGTTATTTGCCCCTTTTTATTCTCATTCTCCCATAAGTGTTCGGTGGAGTTTTCCAGAACCTCCATGACCGGTGATGATGCCATTTTTTTTTGTAATTTTTTTTTTAACATTTATTTATTTTTGAGACAGAGAGAGAGACAGCATGAACAGGGGAGGGTCAGAGAAAGAGGGAGACACAGAATCTGAAACAGGCTCCAGGCTCTGAGTTGTCAGCCCAGAGCCCGATGCAGGGCTTGAACTCACGGACTGTGAGATCATGACCTGAGCTGGATCATGACTGAGCCACCCAGGCGCCCCGATGCCATTTTTTTTTTTTTGAGAGAGAGAGAGCACAAGCAGGAGAGAGGGGCAGAGGGAGAGAGAGAGAGAATCTCAAGGAGGCTCCACACATAGTGTGGAGCCTGACGCGTGTGGAGCCTGACGCGGGGCTCAATCTCACGACTGTGAGATCATGACCTGAGCTGAAATCAAGAGTTGGACGCTTAATTTGCTGAGCCACCCAGGAGCCCGGATGCCATTGTTCTGACAGCTGATGGAATGTGTGTGTGTATTCTTGTGTTTTAAAATGTTCTGTTTTAATCTCTAATGCAGTAAATACCCATAAATACAACGCAAAAATATAATCCATAAAAGGGTCTTTGGGGTCCTCATTCTATTTTTTAACAGATTGAGATATAATTCACCAACCGTGCAATTCGCTTCTTTAAGGTATACAGTTCAATGGCTTCTAGTATATTCAGGGCTGTACAACTATTACCACAAGCAATTTTGGAACATTTTCACACTCCAAAGAGAAACCCCATACCTATTAGCAGTCCCCCCGCCCCCCGCATTTCTCCCAACTGCCTCCCTCTGAGCCCCTGGAAACCATCAATTTGCTGTCTCTATGGATTTACTTATTCTGTACATTTCATATGGATGGGCTCACACAATATGTGATCTGTTGTGTCTGGCTTCTTTCACTTAAGATAGTTTTAAGATTCATTCACATCGTAGCATGGATCAGTACTTCATTCCTTTTCACAGTCGAATCATATCCCATTGTATGAATATAACACATTTTGTTTATCTATTCCTAAACTGTAAGGGTGTGCAGACTCCTGAGACCAAAAAGTTTGAGAACTGCTGCCTTAGGGTTTCTTGCTCTGCGGAAGCAGATGTATCCACTTTGTGAAAATGAACCAAGCTTCGCGCTTAGGATACGTGCACAGCTCCACATATAAATTATACGATTACTCAATAAAGCATTTATTTATTCATTTTTTAAAATTAATGTTTATTTATTTTGAAGGAGAGAGAGACAGACCGTGAGCAGGGGAGGGGCAGAGAGACAGGGAGACACAGAATCCGAAGCAGGCTCCGGGCTCTGAGCTGTCAGCACAAAGCCCGAGGCAGGGCTCGAACTCACAAGCTGTGAGATCATAGCTTAAGCTGAAGCCAGACGCTCAACCAACTGAGCCACCCAGGCACCCCAATAAAGCATATATTAAGCTTTTATTTATTTGATAAAAAATGTACTGAGCTCTTTCCCTAGCTAGGGCTTGCCCTGTGCCAGGCAGAATTCCAAGTGTGTCTGTGGATTCTCTGGCTCAGTCCCCACAATCAGCCCAGGAAGTAAGAACTACCAATGCCTTGGGGCGCCTGGGTGGCTCAGTCAGTTAAGCGTCCAACCTCAGCTCAGGTCATGATCTTATGGTTCATGGGTTCAAGCCCTGCATCAGGCTCTGTGCTGACAGCTTAGAGCCTGGAGCCTGCTTTGGATTCTCTGACTCCCTCTCTCTCTCTCTGCCCCTTCTCTACTCTTGCATGCTCTCTCTCTTTCTCTCCCCCCCCCACCCCTCTCTCTCACAAATGAAAAATACACATTAAGGAAAAAAAAAAAACCAGACAACTACCAATGCCTTAATTTTCAAGGTGAGGAAGCAAGACATTCAGAGAGGTACAGTGCCTGGCCCTGGGTCACACAGCACAGAAGTGGCAGAACAGCGTGTAGACTCAGTATGGCCTTACCTAAACCCTAATCCTCCACTTATACACGACTTTTTATTTTGAAAAAAATCCAAACGAACAGAAAAGTTGCACACACAGTATAATGGACACCTGCACACCCAATTCAAACTTTTCACGTTCTGCCTCACCTGCATAACTTATCTGTGTGTGTGTGTGTGTGTGTGTGTGTGTGCCCAAACACTCACCGTCAGTTTTTGCAGACCATTTACATGTAGCTGCACTCAACCTGTGCTAAAAGTAAGGATATTCCCCTACACAATCACAGTGTCATAATCACACCTAAGAAAATGAACACTAATTCTCTAATATCTCTAACACCCCTATTCAGATTTTCCCATTTGTCCCCAAAAGTCTTTGATAGTAACTTTTCTCAAACTGACATGCAATTATGGGTCACACATTTCATTTGTCAGTTCTTGTGGCCTTAGTCCCTTTTTAATCCAGAATATCTACCCCCATTTTTGTTTCCAGACATTGATTTGTTGGTGGAATCTTAGCCACCAGTGCTAATTTCAACACCTCTCTTTCTATCTCTGTTGACCACAGGCCCCCTGATACTCCTATTTTTCTCACATGATATACTTCTCCCCATCATGACCCTGAAAGCGTCTTCACAATGACCCGAAGAGGTGGGTACATCATCATCACTGACATCATCCATTGTCCAGAGGAGGAAACTGGGGCTCAGAGAGGTGAAGCCACTTGTGCCAGGTCACACAACAAGGTCAAGGTCTGAACCAGGCAGTTGGCTCACTCACCTGATGGTAGATGTCCTCCTGGCAGGGACTTCTTGGCCACCTCAGCCAGCACTCCCAATCCCAGGCCGACAGCCAGTCCTGGGGAGTAAGAGAGAAGGCTGGGTACCTGCTTGCCCTGGGCTTCTCCCCCGACCCCGTCTGTGCTCAGCCTCTCCCTAAGCAAGCTGTCTCCCAGATTTCTGTTGGCAACTCTTTGTCTGTCTTTGTCCCCAACTCAGTCTCTTACCCACTCTTTCCCTGCCTGGGGTTCCCTTCAAGGTACAGCTGCCTCTTTCCCTACCCCTCTCTCCAAGTCTATCTACGGGGTCAGCAGTTCTCACCCCTGGCTGCACATCTCAGTCACGTGAGGAGCTTTGGCAAATACAATGCCCATTATCATGGCCTGAGATGATCCTTGGAATTCATGTATGTGTGTGTGTGTGTGTGTGTGTGTGTGTGTGTGTGTGTATACACACACATATATAGTTTAAAAATGCTTTATTTATTTTTGAGAGAGGCAGAGAGACAGAGTGCAAGTGGAGGAGGGGCAAAAAGAGGGAGACAGAGAATCCAAAGCAGGCTCCAGGTTCCCAGCTGTCAGCTCAGAGCCTGACGTGGGGCTCAAACTCACAAACCATGCGATCGTGACCTGAGCTGAACACCTGAGCTGACGCCTAACTGACTGAGCCACGCAGGTGCCCTCATATATATTTTTTAAGCATCCTAGATGATTCTAGTGTGCAGCCAAGAGTAAGAAGGCCCCCAAAAGATCCCCCTGAGTCTCTCTGTCTTCCTATGACTCCCGTTTCTCTGTCCACACTTCATCTTCTTCGTGCCTCTCCTTGTCTAAGTTGGTTTTTCTCCATCTCTCCCCCTCCACATGTACCTCCACATGGTACATTTGTTTTGGCCTCTTTGTCTCTGTCCCTTCTTTTGATGTTATCTCTCAGCCTTTGATTTCCTCTGCCTCCTCTGTCTCCTTGTCCCTAAAGGCATCTTGAGTCTATCTGCCTCTTGCACTATCCCCATTTCTGTAAATAATTGAACTGGCATTTTCTGAGCACTTGCTACCTGCCAGGAACCATTCCTAGCACCTTCTATGCATTGCCTCATCTTGTCCTCACACCTGCGTGAGATAAGTTTCACAGAAAAACTTCCATTTTACAGAAAAGGAAATTGAGTCTCAGAGAAGTGAAGTAACCCGTCCAGAGTCACAAAGCGAGGATGTAGCAGAATCAACCCCTTGAACCTTGAGCCTGGAATCAAAGCTCTAACCAGTGCATTTGACTCCCTCTTTAGACTGTGAATCAGTATCTTTAAAACTTGAACCATCATCCATACTAAAGAAGACACCTGCATTATAACAGTGTGTATGTATACATACATACATATATATGGTATGTATATAAACATATGATACATATGTAATATAATATAAATGTATGTTATATATACAATATATGTAATGTTTCATGAAACGAAAATTTCCTTTACATGTGCACCCACATATTCCATTCTATTCTTTTGGATGCTGGCTGCAATCCATTGAATTATTTCATGCAGATCGTGACCTGAAGTTTGAACAATCCTGCTGTATAACATAGGGTCAAGTCACTTCTCTTCCCTTAGCCTCCATTTCCTTATCTACAGAATGGAAACTAACACTCATCACTTCTGTGCCGAGATCGAGTGCACATGGGGCCTTGCACATTCAAGCTCTCAATAAATGTTACCTTCCTTTCTATTTCTCTTAGTTTTGCAAGCGTTTGCCTTCCTTCTCTTTCCATCTCTTACTCCTCTTCCTGTCTCTGATTCACCCTCTCCCTTACTTCATTCTATAAATGTGGCCTCCTCTGTTCTAGGTCACAATTTCCCACAGTCACACCTACCCCCAAAGTTGGCCAAGCGGCTGATGCGGGAAGCGGGCACCTTGCGTTCTCGAGAGCGGTCGCTCAGCTGGGAAATGGGGAGAAAGTCTGAGGGTGGGAAGGTGCCCAGGGAGTCCAACCAACCTGCCGCCATACCCTTCCCCAAGCTTGGGAGGCCAGTTGCCTTCAAGGGGTGTTGCTGGGTAGGTGGGAGACAATGATACCTGGGGCCGGGGTGTCTTCCTGATCCGAGTCTCCCGTGCCCTGCGAATGTCCTCCTCACCCAGGCCTCTGCTAGGCCCACCCTTATGGAACATTTGGGTCCAAGAACCCCCACATGGCCCCTGCAAGAAAAGTGGATATTGGTAAGGAGTGGAGGACACGGGATCCTGGCCCTTTTGGACCCCTCCCTGTTATTTTACCCCCTAGGGC